TCTTTTGGAGAAAGATGAAAGTATTAGAACAGACTGTTCTCTACAGCACAGCAGCAGCTCCTCACTGTGCTGTAGAGAACAGTCTGTCTGTGTCTCTGCACATGTTTCTGTAGACTTGAACAATATTTAGATGCAGAGTTCTCTACATACATATCACCATAACAGATGAGAGAGCTTCAGATGAAGCACCACAGTGCATAGCTTCAGATGAAGCTCCACAGTGCATAGCTTCAGATGAAGCTCCACAGTGCGTAGCTTCAGATGAAGCACCACAGTGCGTAGCTTCAGATGAAGCACCACAGTGCGTAGCTTCAGATGAAGCACCACAGTGCGTAGCTTCAGATGAAGCTCCACCGTGCGTAGCTTCAGATGAAGCACCACCGTGCGTAGCTTCAGATGAAGCTCCACCGTGCGTAGCTTCAGATGAAGCTCCACCGTGCGTAGCTGGACACAGAGTCTTGTCCTGTCAGTGAAGTGAGAGCCATGTGGGGCAGCAGTTAGCAGTTAGCAGTTAGCTTCTGGTGAGTGTTTCTGGAGTTCTGCTGCAGGGCTTCTTTCTGCAGGATATATCAGGGGTTTTGCACTTTGTGTGAATTGTGTTTAGTGTTCTGAGAAAATAAGCCCTGCTTTCAAAAAGTGTGTTTTAGAGATTGAAAGAAAGTGTAATGTGTAGTCCAGTACTTGGAACAGGTAGAGGAACTGCCTGAATCTGCTTCTTGGTTATCATTTAGAGTAATAATAAAGACATGGTATTTATAAAGCACTTCTCCTGGTGCTCAGAGACGTTACTTTCAGTCTTCTTCTTTAAATGCACAGGTGGACACCTGGTGAGTTTTATTTCTGCTTTGTGAGTTCTCCTGTTAGTTTGAACATGTCACTGCCTCAATCTGCTGTTCCCCTTTAGTTCCTGTGTTACTCTCTGTATGCAGTAACCAGAGCCTGTGGGGGGAGCGTACTGAGGACATTTCTAAACTGGTCTTTAGGAACTGGAGCTGAATACTTTTGAAAGTATGATTTATATTGACTAAATAGTAAACAACACAAATTAAGAACCTTGGATAGAGATTGAAAACCATCAGTTACAGTTACTCTTTTTTATAAGAAAATAAAACTGTACATGTTGTAATTAATAGTTCATCGTCTGCGTGGAAATAAATAAAAAGATAGCAGGTCAGGAAATAGAATCCCCTAAAGATAAAGCACTCTGGAATAACCCATCAACAACTCTTCAGAGGTCCCAGTCACACTGGCTGACGAGGACACATTGAGGAATGTTCAATGATCAGATTTTGTAAAGGAAAGCTCAATACTTTCATTTCAGGAAGTAAAGAGTTAATATGGACGAAGAGACACCCAAGCTTTTAAAAATTTGAAGTTTAAAAATGGGTTCACAGGAAATGTGGACGTTAAAAACAGAGTTTCAACTGAAGGGGAATTCTAAAAGCAAACATTAAAAAGAGAACATTAATCTGGTATATAATATCTGTATCAGTGCTGAGGACAACGGGGATTACTATATTTACACTAAGTGGAACAAAGACCTGGACGTAGAAGACGCTAAACTAAAATGGAAGGAATGCTTACAACTTACATATAAAATTACTGCAAACTAAAATCTACGATTAACTCAATATAAACGAATGACAAGAATGTATTATAGGAGGGAGAAAATACATACATTTGATAGCAGTGTTTGTTTACATTTTAAACCCTAAATATATGAGAATATACCTATAACAGTGAAAAAAAGAAGTGAACTTTCTGTTAAGAAATGTGTATCTGTTGGTTCTGTGTTCACTTTGTTGTGTTTCTGGATCTCATGTGCAGTGTAACCTGTGCAGCTCTGAGGAATCAAACTGAAAACACACTCACACTTCCTCACACCAGGTTTCAACCACTGCAGTCCACCATGGTCCATCCTGCAGGAAGGAACACAGTCAGAATCAACTTCATACACCTTCACTCAAATCCACCATTACACAGGAAGCAGAGTCCCTCAGTGACAGAGACACAGTCTGTCTGTCTGTCTGTACCTGAGTGTCTCCAGTCTCCAGAGTGGATCCTCCAGTCCAGCAGACAGCAGCTTCTCTCCTGAGTCTCCAGGATGATTGTAGCTCAGGTCCAGCTCTCTCAGATGGGAGGGGTTGGAGCTCAGAGCTGAAGCCAGAGAAACACAGCCTTCCTCTGTGACCAGACAGCCTGACAGACTACACACACACACACACACACACACACACACACACACACACACACACACACACACACACACACAACACACACACACACACACACACACACACACACACACACACACACACACACAATGAGGTGGCTCATCTTCATATTTTGTAGCAGAAAACCTTCAACCAAATATTGATGACCAACTCTGTGGTGGTATCATCAGATCTGCAGGTCTGCAGTAACATTTCTATAGCCTTATAGTCAGTGCTTGAATTGGGCCGGTACTCACCGGCAGTACCGGGACTTCTGATTTTTACCCATCTGGTACCGTTACTTCTTACTGAGTACCGGCACGGTGCCGGTACGGCGGTACTCAGTACTCAGTAGATGCGTCATGAGGTGCCACCGCCGCTTTGCCCGCCTCGCCCCCGGAGCAGCAGTCTTCGTCGCCCCAAAACACCGCCACCCCTCGGCGGCCCGCAAGTGTCAGAGGACCTCGGCAAAACAGAGCCTGCCCAGGTATATGTAAACAAGTTCCCAACTCGCCTGTACAGTGGGGTAAGGCGCTCATTTTGCAGCTCATGGTTTCAAAACAGAGATTGGCTGGAATTTCCTGTAAAAAAGATGCCATCTTCTGCTATGCCTGTAGACATTTCGGTTCAAATACATCTAACTCAGATGCCTTCACCACAATTGTACCAGAGTACCAAACGCTGTCTCCTGGTACTCATCTGAGTAACTCACTAAAAATGAAATACTATATGACAGTAAAACAAGAATACAGTTTAAAAGGAGAGTGATTTGTAAAATATCCATAAAGAAATAGAACATCTGTTTACAGTTGTGTTTCATATGGGTGTTGAGAGATGTATCCATAGATCTCTTCATGTTGCTTTCAAAGTGCACCAGATTGATGCTTTTAACTTCAACATTTAAAAATAAATCTTGTGTTAGACCCACTCCCCACTTATAAAAATAGCACTTTACCCCTGCACCCCCTCTAATCTCAGATGCACCCTGAGCAGTGTTGGGCAAGTTACTTTTAAAAAGTAACTAGTAATAGTTATAGTTACTGCTCTCAAAAAAGTAACTAGTTACTTTATTAGTTACTAAATTATAAAAGTAACTAGTAACAAGTTACTTTGCTTTACTTTAAAAATAATAACAATCAAAATACAAGTTGTTGTGTTGTTCTGTGGCACAGTAAGACTAGTTGTATAGCCCCATGTACATTAGTTAGGTGCTTCAGGAGATTGGCATTGCTGTTATTCGACGTGGACAATGCTTTCTGTCCTGCACACAGTTTACATTTGACCGTAATATTTTTTGCGTCCTTTATCCCCACAAATTGAAAATAGTGGTTATATCTCCAAGTTGTAAATGCGCTGCTGCTCTCGCTGATACTTGCATCTGCCATTGTGTGTGTGTGTGCTGGTGGTGGGCGTTGCCGTGTATGTGTGTGTGTTAGCAAGTGTTTGTGTGTCTGTGTATTTTCCCCATAAGGCAAGACCCGCCCCCAACTCTAACTCTGATTGGCTTACCCTGAAATGTTACCCCGCGTTAACCAATCATCACTCCTCTCTGGTCAAATCAAATCAAATCAAATCAGGTTTTATTTATATAGCACATTTAAAAGCGATTTTTGGTCGAGCCAAAGTGCTGTACATGTAATAAAAACACATTACTACAATCACAATAAAAGACAATAAATTACAACAGATATATATAAAAAACAAAATAAAAATAAAAACACAAGGAAAAGTCAGGAGTCGTGCTCCGCTCTGACTAGAAGGCCAGAGAGAAGAAGTGTGTTTTTAGTGTAGATTTAAAAACCCCTAGGGTCTGGGCCGACCTCACATGGAGGGGCAGAGTGTTCCAGAGCCTAGTGCCAGCTGCTGCGAAGGCTCGGTGCCCTCGGGTTTTTAGCCTGGTCTTGGGCACTACCAGCAGCAGCTGGTCAGCAGACCTTAAAGCTCTGGCTGGGGTGTAGCGCTGGAGGAGTTCAGCTATATAGGCCGGAGCCAGCCCATTTAGTGCTTTAAAAACAAATAAAAGGATTTTAAAATCAATTCTGAACCGAACTGGAAGCCAGTGTAGTGAGGCCAGAATAGGGGTGATGTGGTCACGCTTTTTGTGGCCAGTCAGCAAACGTGCAGCTGCGTTTTGGACTAGCTGCAGGTGTTTAATTGAGGCCTGGTCCATACCCACATACAGAGCGTTGCAATAGTCCAGTCTCGAGGTTACAAAGGCGTTAATAACCCTTTCTAAGTCATTAAAAGATAAATACGACTTGGTTTTGGCCAATAGTCTTATTTAAAAAAAATAGTGGTCACTTTCACTTGTCCATGGTACTGTGAAAGGACATCACTGTATTCGCCTGAAAGTTACTTCCGCACGGAGATTCGGTTCAGTTGGATCACATAATGTAACGCAGTAACGCACCCATTTAAATCACAGTAACGATAACGGCGTTACTGAATGGGAATAGGTAACTAGTAACGTTATTAGTTACCGCAAAAGGTAGTTGTGTTACAGTAACGCGTTAGTTTGTAACGCGTTAGTCCCAACACTGACCCTGAGTCATTTTGTTTAAGTACAGTGAGCGGTTCTAAAATATACAGTAAAGAGACCAACCCACCAGCATTATAGGATATACTATGACTTTGAGCCAAATTCTTGTTTTTAGGCTGTATAAATAAATTGACTTGAAACAGTTGCTGATTTAGAGTACTGGCACCTTTTTTATTCCAATTCAAGCACTACTTATAGCTAAAAATGCTTTTTACAGTCACCATTTTAACCAATGGGATTTAATGGACAATTAGTTGAACCAACATTACAACCCCAACATATGTATTATTCTCTTTGGACCACAAACAAGTTTAAATACAGACAAATATAATACAAGTTACTAAATTAGCAAAGAACTTCAGTATAACATTGCTGCCACGTTTAATGCTGGATGATAAGAAAACCTCAACGTTTGACTTGTTCCTCAGGTCCAGCTCAGACTAGAGGACCAGGAGCTGAGGACAGAGCTTCACAACTTCTCTCTGACAATGTACAAACACTAAAATAATTAAATTAAAGGTCCATCCAATAGTTAATATATGAAGTAATTAGGTGTTCAGAGGGTCAACATTTGTTAACAGCTTTTCACTAACCTGAGGGTCTCCAGATCACAGTGTGGACTCTCCAGTCCAGCAGACAGCAGCTTCACTCCTGAATCCTGCAGGTCGTTGTTACTCAGCTCTCTCAGACTAGAGGACTGGGAGCTGAGGACTGACGACAGAGCTTCACAGCTTCTCTCTGAGAGGTTACAGTCACTCAGCCTGGAGAGGAATCAGTAATACAGAATAAATCAATTATACACTTTTATCATTTTCTGATTAAATAATAAATACATTTAATCTGGATAGTTATGTGTTCACGTACAGAGCTTTGTTGGAGGCTTTGACCACTGGCAGCAGCCTCAGAAGAGCCTCCTCTGAAGCAGAGTATTTCTTCAGGTCAAACACGTCCAGATCTTCTCCTGATGACAGTAAGATGAAGACCAGAGCTGACCACTGAGCAGGAGACAGATTATCTGTGGAGAGACATCCTGAACTCAGGGACCGTTGGATCTGCGTCACTAGAGAACGATCATTCAGTTCATTCAGACAGTGGAACAGGTTGATGCTTCTCTCTGCAGACAGATCCTCATCTATCTTCTTCTTGATGTACTGGACTGTTTTCTGGTTGGTCTCTGAGTCACTTCCAGTCTGTGTCATCAGGCCTCGTAGGAGTTTCTGATTGGTCTGCAGTGAAAGACCCAGGAGGAAGCGGAGGAACAAGTCCAGGTGTCCATTTGGACTCTGTAAGGCCTGGTCCACAGCACTCTGGTAGAGATGTGTTAGTTTAGGTTTGGGTCTCAAGACTTCCTGCAGCCAGGACTGCTGGGAGGTTGTTGGTTCTTCTGCGTTGATGAAGGTCAGATGGACATGAAGAGCAGCCAGAAACTCCTGAACGCTCAGATGGACGAAGCAGAACACCTTGTCCTGGTACAGTCCTCTCTCCTCTCTAAAGACCTGTGTGAACACTCCTGAGTACACTGAGGCTGCTCTGATATCGATGCCACACTCTGTCAGGTCGGACTCATAGAAGATCAGGTTGCCTTTCAGCAGCTGCTCAAAAGCCAGTTTTCCCAGAGACTCCATCATCTCCCTGCTCTCTGGACTCCAGTGTGGATCCGTCTCAGCTCCTCCATGATACTTGATGTTCTTCACTTTGGACTGAACCACCAAGAAGTGGATGTACATCTCAGTCAGGGTCTTGGGCAGCTTTCCTCTCTCTCTGGTTTTCAACACCTCCTCCAGAACTGTAGCAGAGATCCAGCAGAAGACTGGGATGTGGCACATGATGTGGAGGCTTCGTGAGGTCTTGATGTGGGAGATGATGGTGCCGGCCTGCTCCTGATCTCTGAATCTCTTCCTGAAGTACTCCTCCTTCTGTGGGTCAGTGAACCCTCGGATCTCTGTCACCATGTCCACACACTCAGGAGGGATCTGATTGGCTGCTGCAGGTCGTGTGGTTATCCAGAGGCGAGCAGAGGGAAGCAGCTTCCCCCTGATGAGGTTTGTCAGCAGCACATCCACTGAGGTGGACTCTGTGACGTCAGTCAGGATCTCAGTGTTGTGGAAGTCCAGAGGAAGTCGACACTCATCCAGACCGTCAAAGATGAACACAACCGAGAACTGATCAAACCTGCAGATTCCTGCGTCTCTGGTTTCAGAGAAGAACTGATGAACAAGTTCCACCAAGCTGTACTTGTTCTCTCTCACCACATTCAGCTCTCTGAAGGTGAATGGAAATATGAACTGGAGTCCAGAGTGAACGTCTGTGTTAAGACTGTTTTCCCAATGCCAGCCACGCCCTTTGTCATCACTGCTCTGATTGGTGCATCTCTTCCAGGTGAGGCTTTAAAGAGGTCTTCTTGTCTGATGGTTGTTTCTGGTCTGTGTGGTTTCCTGGATGCTGTTTCAATCTGTCTGACCTCATGTTCATCATTGACCTCTGCAACCCCCCCCTCTGTGATGTAGAGCTCTGTGTAGATCTGGTTCAGAAGGGTTGAGTTTCCTGCTTTCGCAATGCCCTCAAACACACACTGGAACTTCTTCTTCAGGTGAGATTTAAGTGTACTGCACACTGCAGCAGGAGTTCCTGAATAAAAAAACAACAAGTGGAACTTGAGAATGCAATTCCTGAAGAAATTGCTAGTGGGAATGCTTTATGCTGAAAAGCTGACGCTGAACTGCTATGCTAAAATGTAATGTTTAAGAAGAAAGTGAAGAATTTAGATTGAAATGATACATGGACACTGGGGGCTTGAAGGCTTGGAAAAGCATCAGAATATTTGAACTGCAAACTTTTTAACTAACTTGATGGCAAATGATCTGTCGTCATGGCAACGGCTTTTGAGGAAAACTCACTAATGGCACAGACATGTTGAAGGGTGGACCATTAACCATTATCTGAAGTCTGGTGCTGTTTTGACCATTTTCATAGGAGTTACGACAACATCATGTTTTATGGCGAGGGATGCGTTTCCATGGAAACAGCCTATGGTGAGATCTCAGATTTGGCATAGAGCTGTTGAGGCATGGACCGGTGATATACAAGTGAAGTTTGGGGGACGATCGGACTCTGTCCATTGGAGTTACAGCGACATCGTGTTTTATGGCGAGGGATGCATTTCCATGCAAACGGCATATGATGACACCCCATAATTGACGTAGAGCTGTTGAGGGCCGGACCATTAACCATTATCTGAAGTCTGGTGCTGTTTTGACTATTTGCATAGGTATCACGACAACATCGTGTTTTTTGGCAAGGGATGCGTTTCCATGGAAACGCATATGGTGAGATCTCAGATTTGGCATAGAGCCGTTGAGGCATGGACCGGTGAAATACAGGTGAAGTTTGGGGGACGATCGGACTGTGTCCATTGGAGTTACAGCGACATCGTGTTTTATGGCGAGGGACAACCCAGTCTCACGGCATTTCGTGTTATAGTCACGACATTTAATCTATTGAGTCGTGTTCACCAACACGGTTTCCCCCTTTTTTTCGTGTCACACAGAACGATTTTAAAAGCAATGTATTTCTATAGAGAGGCGAAGTCCCTCCTCTTCCGGTTGAGCTCCATGGGACCTTATTTTGTAAAAAGTATGCATTGAAGTCAATGGAGAGAGAAAGATTATCTTTCGATCCCGTTTGAATTGAGCCACGAATTACACATATGATGTTTGTCAATTTAAAAGATCATTTTACAAGTCAAAAAAATAAAAATGTGTCGTAAAACTGGGCATGTTGAGAGCTGTACATACACACAAGGGGAGTTAGTCGGTTCGTAAGAGCCAGCATGCGGGACCGGGATTCTGGGATTTGTAGTCTTTCTAGTTGCGTATTTTCATAGTCTTATATTTCAACAGTTTTACGACAAACTGAGACTTTTTTGACATGGAAATTATTATTTAAGATTGACAAACATCATATGTGTAATTCGTGGCACAATTCAAACTGGATCGAAAGATAATCTTTCTCTCTCCATTGACTTCAATACATGCTTTTTCCGAAATAAGGTCCCATGGGTCGGAAGTAGAAGGGCGGGACTTCGCCTCTCTATTGTTAGTGTGTTTCGTGCCTGCACCACGTCTTTTTGTCCGGTCGGGTCTTGGAAGACCGGAAGCTGTGTGGTTCATAAAAACATGTTCTTACTCATTATCAAGCCACGATTATTGTTTTTATTTTAAATCATATAATGTCGGACTTTCTTTGCCGTCTGTGAGGAAAAGAAATGTGGCTCAGAGCCTCAGGATACTGAAATCTGTATTCTTTAAATCTTTTTTCCCTTCTAATTTGTTATTCTTTTCTAAATAACACACTGTTATTTACTTAAGCAATAGCTCACGACAGGCCGTGGTATATGGTCATTATATCACAGCTAAGGGGCGTGGTTCAACCCCCTTAGCTGTGATATACTGAGCATATACCACGGCCTGAAGTGAGCTATTGCTTTTATAAAACGGTTACCAAGTGTGGCAATATGAAAGAAAAATACACACTCTAATTTAAATAGTTTTTATTAGTAAATAATGATGTTCAAAATAAAATAGTCCCTCCGTTGCCTTCTGCACAAAACATGCAACAACACTAACAGCTAGCGAACATATTAGCCAGAGAGCGTTGATCCATTATTTGGCTATTTATTTACATTAATGTGTATGTTGCCGTTTATTGTGCAGCCACTGAAAACCTGTCCAGCATCAGTAGAATGGCTTACGTGGTTACTTGTATAGGCTGAGGTTGTTCTAGGCTGTTGCTTGGCGTGGCGAGAATATTGCTCCACTTTCTCCGGTCCCCGAGATTGGGCTTCCAGTAGCTCTGGAGAGAGCTTTCGCACCTGTGGCCACTAACGGTCATCATTTCTCTGCTTTGTTTCAAGACCCGCATCAGAAAGCTTTTCAATGGTGGTACCTTTCCAGTTGGTCTACCTCAGGGGTACTCAAATACAAATCTTAAAGGTCCAAAGAAATTTTTCAATAAGACAAAGGTCCGTTTATTACGGTCATTCAAACTTTTAAACAATTGCAACAAGATTCTTAACACGAGGTTGCAAAAACAAAAAGTCTCTGTATGCAGCAGTTTTCATTGTTATTGTGTCTGTGCTTGATCCCTCAGAGTTGCAGTGTAAGAGCTGCACAGTTATGAATAAAGGCAGCTGCACCCTCTTTCATTCAGCATTCCCTTATTGCTTTATAAATGTCTTGCCCCCTTGTGTGTCCACTGAGGTTCGTCAGGCCCAACACATCTTCAACAAACTCCCCCTTTGCCTCATCATACAAACTCACAAACACCAGCAACTGAGCATTGTCAGTGGTGTCAGTGGACTCATCCACAGCTAAGGAAATGCACTGTGCATTTTGTATTCCATCACAAAGCTGATTAATCAAATCACCAGCCAGTATTTATGTTCTTCTGGTTGCTGTGGAATCTGAGAGGGGGATTTGCTTGATTTTACCTGTTATTTCCTCTTTTTGTTTGCCTTCAAACATGGTCTCCATCACTTCAGTCATGCATTCTTTTATACTTCAGTTATTATCCAGTGGAAAGTCCTTACCTACTGGCCTAGTTCAATCAAAGTGGTTACTTTCTGTTGGCTGGGCAGTGTAGTTTTACACACCGTCTTATTTGACTTTCTCAGGACTTAAAACTGTTTTTTGGGGGCAAAGAAAAAAATATATTTACACACGTAAGGTCATCATCTTAACAGTTTTGTATGCTCATCCGTGAGCAGAGCATCAAGTTGACATGTCTATTACAGCTGAATGCGGCGATTACCATCTTGTTCAGCAAAACGCCTCACAAACTTATTAAGATCAATAGCTTTAGTGCGTTTTGATTCAATGCTGAGTACAGCCACACTGACAGTCTATTCTCTGTCATTGTAGACCGCACCTCATTCCTTCAGTACTTGGGTCCGGATGCTTCTCGTTTTGCGCCGTCCCGTTCAAATGAAATCGCCGCCAATCATATTTCCACGCTCGCGCCAGGGCCGGGGGAGGGGTTACAAGACGTGCGTCTTGTGCTGCATTCACTTGCACTCGGACATTAGAGACTTTCTCTCATAAATGTCCGATGAGCCACAACTTTTCTATTATACTACTACTATTCTATATTTTTATCATTGACCTTCTACTTTCCCCCTATGAAAGGATGTACTCTTAATATTTTTTTCATCAAATATAACATCTTAAAGAAATAATTCAATAACGTGGTTTAACCACTAGGCGGTGCACACAAGGTACACACAGCCATAATAACTTTGTATTATTAGTGTAGGACACTTATGTATGTATAACATCTGAAGATGTGTAGTTTTATTCATGTTTTCACATAATTGTACAGGATATTGCTATATTATTTCACATGTTTTACATCTACACATTAATATCTGATTGTAAAACATCACAGACAGAAAGGTATATCCGTCATTTAATGGTAAGCTATTGAAATTGTGAATCCATAGATGTGTCTCCCATCACCCAAATCCCCTGACTATTCTCTCAACTCAGTATTTACAATCTTATATTCAAAGAAAATCAGTAATATCTTTAAAAACTACAAGTCCTTTTCTATCAGCTGTGCACCGTTATGGTGTAAATACAGCCTATCTACCAATTGGATCAAATATAAAAGTCAGCCGAATTAATGTTGATACTGCAAGGAGACGTATTGTGTGAAGAGAAATGTAAGATGTTGTTTAATTGCTGATATATTTATGATCCACGCATATTCAGTTTCCGTGGCTGTTCTTCCTGTTAGTCTAGAAGTCTTCTCATCAGGGCTCTATAAATAAATAACTACGGCAGATGTGTAATATTCAATGCAGCCGAACCGTGTATTACAATGCCGTTTTGTGATGACTTCCAAAGAGAAAAGCAAGCACACTCGGAATAAAGTATTATTTATTTTTTTTAAATGTTTTTCGGATTTCATATCGCATAAACACCATGTCCCAACGTGCATTGCGGCACTCAGTTCAGTGGGTGTTTATCTGTTTCCGGTTATTTTATTTTGAAATTCAGTTCCTGACGGACGAAACACACTAGAAATACATTGCTTTTAAAATCGTTCTGTGTGACACGAAAAAAAGGGGAAAATCGTGTTGGTGTTAAATCTTGTGACTATAACACGAAATGCCGTGAGAATGGGTTGTGAGGGATGCGTTTCCATGGTAACACCACATTATGTAACATCAGATTTGATGTAGAGCTGTTCAGGGCCACAGTGTTAACCATCATGTGATGTTTGGTGGCGTTCTGAGCATGTCAGTTTGAGTTATGACATCATCGTGTTCCATGACACACCTGTGCTTGAACCCAGAGATCAAAGGTTTCCATGGTGATGTGCAGTAATCAGTGAGAGGAGAGCCTTTTCATTGTTCTGAATGAGAGATAAACGTGTTGTTGAAGAACCGTAAAAGATATCGGTGAAATGTCAACGCGTGAAGCAAGTGTGCTTTTGGGGTACTTTCGGGTTAATAATGTGGCCTTTTTGGCAGATTAACTAAAGGTGTGCTGCTGCTGCTGTGAGGAAAGATCAGCCTGAAATTACAATGGGGTTTAATGGAGACATGTTGAAAGTTTTTGTCACTTCATGCCCTCAATTATTTTTGCTTAATTATTTGTTAGATAGAGATGTTTTCCTACGTTTTTCAGGAAAAATGATGTCTCAGGAATGTAGGGTTTTGGAATTATGGCAGGTTTAAAAAAATATATATGAAGGCTTATTTCAAGCTGTCCCCCACTCTAGCTTTGAGATCACGCACTCTAGCGTTAACGAGCTGCGCAATACACACTAACGTTAAAATCTGAAGAAGGCCTATTTACAACTGAACAATGTTTAATATCTCTAAAAGTATGAATCTGATTTCAAAGTTGTGTTACACGAATAATGTCAGAAAGATGTGTAACATTTTAAAGTTGGAATGAGGTTTCTAAGTGAAAGTATGAATGAACAGTTAGCAGTTGAAGTCGCATGAAGATTTGTTCAAGTCTGAAGAATTTCTCCATTGACTTCAATGTTAAAAATGTGATGAATTATGGGATGTATCTCTGGAATTCTAAAAGTTATGAATGATAAAAGTAATAGCAATCGATTCCCGACCGAGCTGAACGTTTTGATGTTTGAACGGAGTTTCTGCGATGTGGAATGTGGGAGGAGAAGAGGGACAAAATAACCCGGCGGAATAATAATAAGTATAAAGAATGTGTGCGTAGAAGAACAAGTAGTTGGAATGCTGTATCAGCTTTCCAACTAAATCAGTGAGTGGGTCCTGCAGACACACTGAGACTCTGAACATTTAAGTGTGGCTGTATAGTTTGAATCAGCTCCTCAGAGGACACACTGATGCAGACGTGTGCAGCATATTAACAGCAGAGTTTGTAAACTTCTCCATGTTCCTCCATCTCCTCTCCATCATGTTAAATGTGTTAAACCCTCTTACTGCTCTGCAGACGCTCAGCCAGCTCCTCCTGCTTCATGCTCCTCAGGAAGTGCAGTGTGATGTTCTGAAATGCCTCTCTGCTGCTCCTCCTCTGCTCTTCATCCTCACCATCCAACACCTCCTCTTCCTCACTCTGACTCTCTAAGCCTTCTGGGTAATCTGAACTCAGAGCCTTCTGGATCTTCTTCAGCTCGTTCTTCACAAAAGTGACGATGTTCTCCTCCAGCAGCTGGAACAGATTGATGAACATTGATCAGATGAATATCGTTAAAACTAAAGTTATTATGTTAGGGATAATGTGCAGCAAGGAGGATATTATTAAAAATAACACCCAACGCAAATCTTGATAATCCTCTTTTTTCTATAATCACCACCCTCTTGGATTGCTCGACTGCTTCACTCACACTTAGGCAGGGCCACACCTCACTACAGAATCCTCTGGGATCTCTGAAACAGATTTAGTCGTCTGCCAGCAGTTCATTGAACCTGGTTCTCCAGAGGTTAGTAGAGGTAAGACCTTTCAGAGGTGAATCTGAGCCCAGGGTTCCTGCAGGTTTCGCCTAGGCAAGGCAAGGCAAGTTTATTTATATAGCACCTTTCAACACAAGGTAATTCAAAGTGCTTTACAAAAATGGAAGACATTTTAAAAATGGCATTTAAAATCAGTCATTAAAAAGGAAAGATAATAAAATAAACATTAAAAGAAAAAATACATGGATAAAAGTTAAAAGTTACAGTGCAGTTTAAGATGTGAATAGTTCAATTAAAAGCAGCGGCAAAAAGAAAAGTCTTCAGCCTGGATTTAAAAGTAGTAAGAGTTGCAGCGGACCTGCAGGTTTCTGGGAGTTTGTTCCAGATATTCGGAGCATAATAACTGAATGCTGCTTTACCATGTTTAGTTCTGACTCTGGGGACAGAAAGTTGACCAGTCCCTGAAGACCTGAGGGTTCTGGATGGTTCATAATTTAGCAGTAGGTCAGACATGTATTTTGGGCCTAAACCATTCAAAGCTTTATAAACCAGCAACAATATTTTGAAATCTATTCTTTGACACACAGGAAGCCAGTGTAAAGACTTCAGAACAGGAGTGATGTGATCCACTTTCTTAGTGTTAGTGAGGACTCGAGCAGCGGCGTTCTGAATTAGCTGCAGCTTTCTAATAGATTTTTTAGTGAGGCCTGTAAAGACACCATTGCAGTAGTCGAGTCTACTGAAGATAAAAGCATGGACAAGTTTTTCCAAATCCTGCTGTGACATTAGTCCTTTAATCCTAGATATGTTCTTTAGGTGATAGTAGGCTGATTTAGTAACTGTTTTAATGTGACTGTTGAAACTCAGGTCAGAGTCCATGACTACACCTAGATTTCTGGCTTTATCTGTTGTTTTGAACATTGCAGACTGAAGCTCAGCGCTAACTTTTATACGTTCTGCCTTGGCTCCAAAAACCATTACCTCAGTTTTATCTTTGTTTAATTGGAGAAAGTTCTGACACATCCAGTCATTGATTTGTTCAATGCACTTACTCAGTGTTTGAATTGGAGCATAATCTCCTGGTGAAATTGTTACGTACATTTGTGTGTCATCCGCATAGCTATGGTAACTTATTTTGTTGTTTTTCATTATCTGAGCCAGTGGTAGCATGTAGATGTTAAAGAGAAGAGGCCCCAAGATGGAGCCTTGAGGTACCCCACATGTCATATTTGTCAACTCAGATGTGTATTTACCTATAGAAATAAAGTTTTTTCTGTCCTTTAAGTAGGACTCAAACCAATTTAGAACTGTTGCCGAAAGTCCCACCCAGTTTTCTAGTCGGTCTAGTAATATGTTGTGGTCAACAGTGTCAAATGCAGCACTGAGATCTAATAATACTAACACTGAAGTTCTGCCACTGTCTGTGTTTAAGTGGATGTCATTGAAGACCTTTACAAGAGCAGTCTCAGTGCTGTGGTTTGGACGAAATCCTGACTGGAACACATCCAAACAGTTATTTAAATGCAAGAAGTTACTCAACTGTTGAAATACTACTTTTTCAATGATTTTACCTAGAAATGGCAGGTTTGATATTGGCCTGTAATTGTTCATTACTGAGGCATCTAGATTATTCTTTTTTAAGAGCGGTTTAATGACTGCAGTTTTCAGGGCCTCTGGAAAAATACCTGAGTGAAGAGATGTGTTTACTATATGAAGTAGATCTGAGGCCATGCAAGGAAAAACATCTTTGAAAAATCCTGTTGGAATAATATCAAGGCAGCAGGAGGAGAATTTCAGAAGTTGAATAATGTCCTCTAAGTTTTTACCATTAATCTGATGGAATTGTGTCATGGTGTTTGAATTGATATTAGGTGGACATAGGGACAAAACATTTGCTGTACCTGATGTAGAGGCACTGACTGCTTGTCTAATTTTCTGAATTTTGTCAGTGAAGAAGGAGGCAAAATCATTCCTGCAGGTTTCGCCTACTCAAATTTAAGACTTTTTAAGACCTTTTTAAGACCATTTTGAATAGAATTTAAGACCTATTTCACTGCAAGAAAGTATGAAGGAAAATTGCTATGAAAGAAGAAATACGTCCCATAATTACTTACAAAGTAAATGTAAAGGCATAACAGTCCAGAACTGTGTTAGCGTGTTAGACAAAAAGTGTATGTGTCTGTGTGTCTGTGTGTGTGTGTTAGGGGTGTGCAATTAATCGTATTTTAAATTGCAAATTACGATTTTGGCCTGCCACAATTACGAAATTATTTTGCTTTGCTAGGTTGTGACAGTGCACTACAACATATTTGATCTAATTAATTTTAGTCTAATTTATTTGTATTTATCATATTTATATATGTTTAATAGCTTGTGGAAGTGCGCTCCAAAATATGTGTTGATCTTGTTTATTGGTATTTATTATTTTGATATTATTTATTTAAATGTATAATTAATTTAATTTATTTTTGTATTGGTTTTGCATTTTTGTATTGGTTTTGCAGTTGAATTATACGTTCAGGGTAATCAACAGTTAAAAAGTCAAATTATTATTTGTTTTAAAGTTCAATAAATGGATGTTTTCAAAGTCAATGAATAATCGTATTTAATAATCTTGATATCAATTATTGACCAAAATAATCGTGATTATGATTTTTGCCATAATCGAGCAGCCTTAGTGTGTGTGTGTGTGTGTGTGTGTGTGTGTGTGTGTGTGTGTGTGTGTGTGTGTGTGTGTGTGTGTGTGTGTGTGTGTGTGTGTGTGTGTGTGTGTGTGTGTGTGTGTGAGAGAGAGAGTGACAAGAGCTATATTCAGAGCTCTGCTGCACCTCCGCTTTTAGGGTTGATGTAGACCCAAACGTCGCCCGGTGTTGTTGCGGGAGCTGCTGCAGTAGCTAACGCTACATTAGCATACGCTAATTTCTTTTGCAAAAGGTGCAGCGGGCTTCAAACACGTTCCCCTCCACTGGTTTCAACAAAGCACTAAATTCGATATTTTCCAACCAATAACGGTTGAACTTACACTTCCCCATATTTATTTGTAAGTAGATTTGAAGATACATGAGTTTCTGACTGCCGCTAGCTGAAGCTTGGTTGCTAGGTTACTAGCTGGGTGTTCTCCAATAAGGGGCCGGGGGAAACAAAGTTAGTGATTACTGGTTCCATGTTGATTTAATTCAATACAGATTGTTGGGGGGAACTGAAAGGCTCTTACCGTACAGGTTACTTTGCAGCCCGGACATTTCCCCCAAAACACATTTAGAGGCGATCGCAACACAGAAGTACCTTTCAAATCCCATCATTTTTAAGACCTTCTAAATCATATTTAAGACCTTTCTTATTTTTTTGGTCATATTTAAGACCTTTTTAAGGCCTTAAATTCAGATTATCAAATTTAAGACTTTTTAAGACTTTTTAAGACCCGCGGGAACCCTGTGAGCCTAAACTTTCATAGACTCAATAGGTTCTGATAGGTCAATCAGTAGCTCTGATTAATAGTCAGAGATGAATACAGGTCCGCCGACGCAACAACAGTTAATTTAAAGAAGACAACATGTGATCATCTGTCCGTCTGAAGGCCTGCTGGTCTAAACAGAGCAGCATGGACACTGTCAGGACCTGAATGGTAGATCATCTGTAGTTCATAGGAAATGTATATTTGTACCAGTGTTGTAGTCAAGTCACCAATTCACGAGTCCAAGTCACTCTCGAGTCACCACTCTTCGAGTCCGAGTCCAAGTCCGAGTCACCAAGGGAGAGTCGAGTCCGAGTCCAAGTCCGAGTCACCCAAGGAGTGTCCGAGTCGAGTCCGAGTCCGAGTCATCATTACCTGTGTTCGAGTCCGAGTCCAAGTCCGAGTCACCCAAGGAGTGTCCGAGTCGAGTCCGAGTCCGAGTCATCATTACCTGTGTTCGAGTCCGAGTCCAAGTCCGAGTCACCTAAGAAGAGTCCGAGTCAAGTCAGAGTCACAAGTCTTCATGTATTAATCTTCGTGGATATATGTGTTGAAATGTAGCTGCTCCTCCACATTGCTTTTATCCTGTCATGTTATACTAATCTGTCTATTGAACTGCTGTGAAGCCAGTTTGGCTACAATTCTTGTAATAGGTGCTATACAAATATAAAGCTTATTACTAATATTAATATTATTATATATAAATAAACTATATTTAAAATGAGTTACCTTTTAGAGAAGTGATTATATTTGTATGCCAATATTTTCCTATGGTAAAGTTTTCGTTTTGCACTTTTATTTTGATAGTAATAAGATCGGGACTCTTATTTTGAAGGAACTTTTACCGGTTAAATTGGTTTACTGATAAAGATTTAGCCCCAGAAAGCACATGGCTACTTAGCATGCAAAATGACGTCATTCTGCATGCTAAGTAGCCATGTGTTTTCGTGTTATCGGCTGAATATTTATTTATTGATTAGATCACGTTACTCTGATGATAGTGTTCAAGACAGTCTATATGTCTGAACTCGATGTTTAGAGTAATGTGTTACGGAGCCTTCTCTTCAATATTGTTTCCACATAGAGCATTTTGCGCTGCTCTTTTCCAATGTGGAAGCAGAATGTGTGAAAGCATACAGCACGATGCGGGGTGTGTCTCTAGACATCTTTAGACTGGAATAGCGGGGGCCCAGTACGTGAAAAAATCACGAGTCCGAGTCCAAGTCCAAGTCAGTGTACGCGATAATTCACGAGTCCGAGTCCGAGTCCAAGTCATCGTGTGCGAGAATTCACGAGTCCAAGTCCGAGTCGCGTCAATCAGTGCGCGAGTCCGAGTCGAGTCACGAGTCCCGAAAATCGGCACTCGAGTCCGAGTCCAGGACTCGAGTACTCCATCTCTGATTTGTACACACCATAAATATGGAGTCCAGGTCTGTGTGATGCTTCGGGGCAGACTGATCACTGGGAACCTCGGAGAACTCCTGCAGAACTCTGTGGAGAAAACATCCAGAACATTTAAAGAGTCTAATCTGCACACAGCTGACTGAAGGTGTTCTGAGATGAAGACAGAATAACAGGGTAGCTGTGGCTCAGCAGGAGGAGGGGGGGGGTTATAAAAACACCAACATTACTGAGGCCTGAAAGCGTCCGACCATCAGAAGCCTCCCAGCAGCTGATGGTGCGAGGAACAGAAAGCCCCATTATTATCTGGAGCCTGATCTGAACCAATCTGTGGTGCCTTCTCCAAAGAGAGTCAGATGCCCCTTTCACACCAACGCGGTTCCAGGGCCGGTTCGGAGCTAGAGCCTGATAAGCACCGTTTTTCCTGTTCACACCGCAGCGGAGCCGGCTCTAAGCACCGAAAAATGGTGCTTACCAAGTACCAAAAAATTGTCGGTCTAGAAGCAAGAACCAATAGGCTACGTCACACTTACATCGGAGGCGGGGGCAGGGGCGGGATCAACCTGAGCAACATTTTATTGGCGAGTACGGCAAATACAAGTTGTAACAAGCAGTAGCGCTGAGCAAAGTGACTAGAACACAACCACACACTTATAAAAAAAACACACTTTATAAAGTCAGGCAACACTAACCAGGCTTCGTGTGATTCTGTTTATTTGTACCTTACTTTGACCATCCGTTCGCTGTTATTGATCATTGTGGAGAGCAGGCAGACGTTTTGTTTTGTATTATAGCAGCTATCGGATGGAATCAATACATGGGCTGCACAGGTTGTCATGTCCGACTATCACAAGTAGAATCATAATGAAAAATACGCCGGTAAAATGTGCCTGTAGAAAACGGCTTATGCCACAATAGGATAGCAACAAGTAGTCAAGATAGTCAGTTTAGCTTCGGTTGCTATGCTAACATCACCCATGTTATACCAGAGAAACTTTCATAACAGCGTTGTGATGCCAAACAGCAGTCAGCACTGCAGCGGTCGGTACAGCAGTATATTTTATTTTGTTAACACTGTAAACTTGACAGCTTTTTAACCCGCACCTCCTACTGGTTAAAGCACGTTATTACACGTTTAGAGTAATTGCAATGCAGGTAGATTGTGTTGCTTTTTAATGACTGTTTAAAATGCCTTTTTCTTAATGTCTTTCATTTTTGTAAAGCACTTTTGAATGTGTTATATTTGATGAAAACATTTAAATATTAAGAGTACATACTCTTAATATAGTGGGAAAGTGGAAGGTCAATGATATAAATAATATAGAATAGAAAATATCAAGAAGATACTGTAAGTGATCTCTACAATAAAACAGTTTAGTGCCTGATAGGAGGATGTGCAAAACAGACAAACTAATAAGGCTTTATTTAAACATTAAAGAATACTTTAGGTTACGGTCTTCTTTTAAATAAGAAAAAAGCTTTGGGGGTATCTACAGATATTAAGCCTGACAAAGTACTTAACGTCTAATATATTGCATGGTTTGTTTTGGAACTTGACAATCAACTTTCCTGCAATGTTAACTATGTTGAAGCACTTATTTTAACTGACATTATACATATTAATTATAGGACGATTCGGTATCGATGCAGTGACGGAAGATAATCGAAACAAAAACGGCTTATGCCACAATAGGATAGCAACAAGTAGTCAAGATAGTCAGTTTAGCTTTGGTTGCTATGCTAACATCACCCATGTTATACCAGAGAAACTTTCATAACAGCGTTGTGATGCCAAACAGCAGCCAGCACTGCAGCGGTCGGTAAATGCCCTGAAACACATTAATAAACAATGAACCACGGCACTCTGGAGAAAAGTATAAGGTTTGAGAAGTAGTTATTTTATTTAATCTGGCTTCGTATGAATAAAAGCAACACGATAATCGACCCGACGCCGTTGAGCTACGTAAACGGTGACGTCATGATGCAGCACCAGTCGGGCTCTGGGCGGTGTGAACAAAACGGGGGCTGAAAAGAAAAACCGGTTCCAAACCAGAAGAGCTCAAGAGGAGCTAGAACGGGAACCACGTTGGTGTGAAAGGGGCAAGATAGTAACAGAGTCCAGTTTTAAATTCTTACCTTTGATCAGCACTATGTCCAGCTTTAAAGTTCATAGGAGACGCCATAGACCAGTCACTCTTCATGGACTCACAGCTGGGTCCAGGTCTCTGCTGCTGGATCCTGAGACTGATAAAGAACAGAGTAATAAACAGGGTTCCTGCAGGTTTCGCCAACTCAAATTTAAGACTTTTTAAGACCTTTTTCAGACCACTTTGAATAGAATTTACGGCAAGAAAGTATGAAGGAAAATTGCTATGAAAAAAGAAATACGTGCCATAATTATTTATATATGTTTAATAGCTTGTGGAAGTGCGCTCCAAAATATTTGTTGATCTTGTTTATTGGTATATTATTTATTTAAATGTATCATTTATTTAATAGATTTTTGCAACCTGGTCTCACCAGAATGCGTGACTCCACCACGACTCCTTAACACCGCAGTGCGTGGTGGAGTCACGAACTTTGCTACATTTACGTGTCGGCACCACGCAAACAACCCCAATGTAAAGTGAATGAGGCTCCTTTGTCGTGGTGCACACACGCATTTCTACAACGTCCAACAGTGAGCTTTTATTCTATAAAACGTTTTTAAAATCTACTTTATAGCTTGTAGTAACTCACGGGAGGCTTCTTTTATTTTATTTGTATTCATAATAATTTTTATTTTTCGTCAGAATGTATTATGGTGCATTATTCACCAATGTTTGTTCTCAAAAAACAGTGCATTGTGTGTAATACAACTGTGATTTTTATTAAATGAGTTAGTTTTTAAGGAAGGCCAGAGCTTCAGCTGTGTCAAATAGATTGTTCCCTTTAGTTAACGTTATTTAAAAGATAATTATATTCCTATTTGATCAAGTCCCCTTTATTGTATTACGGACGCAGAGAGCAATGTGAGCGTCCATTCCCATTGGATAACGGAGGATTTTACACCCGGAAGTAAGTATTCTCCTTACTGTCGATTGATTTTACAGTGATATCTGCACTACTCATCAACTCAAAAATACCAGATTATCCTTGTTAATTACACAACATTGATTGGTTTAAATTGTGTACAATGCTTTTGTAATTTTCCCCTTCGATTCGGAGAAACAAATATTTGTTCAGAGTTTAGGATGGCCGAAGACACTACACTACCCAGAATCCTCAGCTATTGATCCGCTTTGCCTCAAGCTCTGTGATTGGTTGACCTCCAACTGCATTCCATATGAAAAAAACGTTTCGTAAAAGATCAAATCATACTTTATTCAGCAGTGCTTGCTTTACTCTTTGAAAGTCATCACATGAATGCATTGTAATGAATGGTTCGGCTACATTAAACATTACACATCTGTCGTAGTTCTTTATTTATCTACAGAGATCGGGCCTCAGAATAGACCGGAAACTATTCTTTTAGCGTTCTGTTTTAATTTCACAATAAAGTTAGTAGTAATATTTTGTTTTGATATTATTGTTTTTTATGAACTACTAGACCGCTGGGTCATGTTAAGACCATCTTTTCTGTGTTGCTGTGGGTTTTTTACATCGCTTTTGTGTTACAAATATCAAAACAATAACAGAATATATCCGTCGTAAACTAAACCAGAAACAGCAGTACTCATAGCAAAAAGCTTCCGGTTTCGCTATGAGTGGTCGCATTTTCGAGAGCTCCCGCTTTGGAGGTTATTCCTCACGATTTTTTACATATTTCATCCTCCTGACAATATGGATTATGGACTCCTACCTCAACTCATCAATGAGGCAACATCACTTAGAGAAGGAGAGTAGTGAAAGCAGGGATAAAATGAACCACAATGACTTTTACCTTCTCAACGGCTGGGAAAGGAAACACCTCGCTTTTGGAAGTGCAAGCATTCATGCATTATTAACTGCAAACCCGACGCGAAAGTACTTACCCCCGTCAGGCAAACTAGACCGAAGAAGTATGATCGTCTTGGTCTTATTGTTAGCGGGAGACATCCATCTGAATCCGGGCCCGGTGCAGACAAGAAGCCATTCCTGCAGGCTCGAGGAGCTAGCATCACAACTAGCATCACAACTAGCATCTCTTCCGCTACAGCAACAACTACGCGACGACAACAGAGACCATGGAGACAGCGGAGACCGAGGAATCAACGGAGACTTCGACATTCCCCCGGGGACGCCTCGGCAGACAGACACGCATGAGGCAGTGACGAGAGGAAGAGAACCGAGATCCGAGGGAACAAATATCCACCATGTTGTTAGCCACCCTGCTAGCATATCGACGGCTAAAGCTACAACGGAGCCTCCCTCCCCCCACCACCCCACCGCTCCAAGCACCACGGCAGGCCGCAAGCCGTTTGCTGTAACGGACAAAGACAAATATCTTCAAGCTGACGACATTATGCATTTAAACAACAAAAATGGACTACATATCTTTCATCTGAACACTAACAGCCTGAGACACAAACTGGCTGAACTCAGGCAACTGTTCATGAACGGTAAGGCAAGCATATTATGCTTTTCTGAGACCAAATTGGACAATTCCATTACAGATTCAGAGATTGAAATTGAAGATTATCTTGTAGTGAGAAGGGACAGGAACGTGAATGGAGGTGGTGTCTGCATGTACATACATAAAGACACCAATTTCAAAAACCGTACTGACCTGCATCATGAAAATATTGAATCTGTGTGGGTTGAAATTCTTTTTGACAATGCTAAATCTGTAATAGTCGGGACAATCTATAGACCACCGGAACAGAGTGACTTTTATGATACATTAGATGGGTGTTTGGCTGATGTGGGGGATGTAGAGACAATTATTATTGGAGACTGGAACACGGATATGCAACGTAAAGACACGTCCGTCTTCAAGTCCTTCAGTAGGATTTGTGATCTGCACGGCTTCAGCCAGTTAATCACCCAACCCACCCGGGTATGTGAAACAACACAAACTACCATTGATCTCATTCTGACCTCTGACAGGTCCAGGATCTCCAGTAAAGGGG